ATGCCAAGTACATACATTTCGCGCCTACCGTACTCAAAAAAGTGGTCGCCAATCCGGTAGCATTGCACGGGAAATCCCACACTTCGTGTGTGACATTCATTTAAATGGTGTAATTCGGTGAGCAATGTTACAAATGGAACAGACACGAAGAGACAATCTGGATGAGATCTGTTTAGAAACGGTCACCTTCCTTACCTTTGACCTTTGACCTGACATCAGTCCGTAAATCCTCGGCCATCGGAACGTCTCTGTCATTGATTTTTTTGCGCAGCATATTTTTTGTTATACTTCTCACATGAGTAGTTATAAGCAAATCTGCCATCTGTTTCAAAACAAGATCTCACTAAAAAGTACTGGATCGCCATCTACTCCACACTCCGCCATACTCGTTTGAATTCTCTACCTCCTGCTTCAGTTGTACGCCATTATTTCGTTCTTCACCATCTCCTACGTTATTGTTATCATTACTCTCCGTCAAAGTTCGGATTCTCATGTACCTTGGCTTAGTTGTTTCCAGATTTTATAGTGCTAATTCAGCTCGTAATCAACATTGATAAAACGTTTTATTTGGCTGACGCTTGGCGTTATCGCCTCTTTTAGAGCCTGAAAATAGGGGAGGCTATTAATAAACGCTCGTCCAAACACTGTTTCGACCTGCATGGTCACTCAGCAGAACCGTGAAGGGTGCCGATCTGCACGGGGCGCCTACCACGTAAACTCGTCCGTTTGCTCAAGTGCTCTTAGGAGGGTTGATCATGTACTGGATTGGAGCATAATGTGGTAGCGTTTTTGTTTTCCAAACGTATTAATTCAATCAGTGCAAGTAAAACCCGAAATATCGCGCATACCAATTGAAAGCACTCTTTCCGTTCTACAAAACCTAGTTTGTCATTTTTTTGAAATTTAAATCTGTACTCACATATGATGGTTAGGAGTTGGAAAATTCCGACGGCAGAAATCGGCATTCCGACAGCTGCTACTTTTCGGTTTACATTAAGAAAAAAACGTCAAAGGAAAGTTCGTCGGAATCCACTGTTCTTATCAAACCTTGCTCTGATCAATCCTACCTCTTTCGTGCAAATTAAACCATTTTATTGTCGTATAGTTTGAAAATGTGAATACTTCGTTAACTACCCCAATATCTTTCTTTAAATTCTAAATCCAGCGATTTTCTGCGAAATATAATAAAAGTCGTTATTAATGACAGAGTGGTGTGACGTCCCTGATTAGTTCTTTATTTTTTTAAACGTTCGCGAGCATAAATGAAAATGCAAGCACTGCGATGCAGGGTGAATAAGGGTCGAGGAAATGGCGAGTGTGAATATCCGCGCGAGAGATCGTGTCTGATCGGGCAGAGAATCCTTGACATGCCGTTGAGGAATCCTCAAGCGATATTCACCCTGCTGCGATGGTATGCTCCACCCAATAGATTGGCCATTTCAAGATCCACTAAAGGTACCGCTGACCGTCCTGAACTCCGTCTGTTACTCTATGGCGCTGCTTAGTCTTCCTTAGCGGCAAGAGTTTGCTGCAAGATCGGATTCACAATGAATAAATGTGTTCGCCTCTTCAAACTCTGTACCCATAACTTCACACCCTACACTTGTTCAAAGGAGAACTATTTCTGGACAGTTGGGTACGGTCCGATATGCCGTTAAGTTTTCAATTTTAATGCAGAGACAGCTGCGCGTTTGCACAATATTAACTCCTCGCTTAGAACAAACGAACCTGGCACTACATCCGTTGTTGTGCATTCTTCTACCCTGCTGAAGGGACATACGGCACAGGAATGGGATCGACAATGGTGGTCATAGAGGCCACTCGGACATGAATCTTCTCTGAGAGGTTCGCTAAGTGGTGTCATTGATAACATTGGGAGGCGGTACGGCTACAGATCCTTGCTCGCTGTGGGTGTGGCCAAACTTCCTACCAATAAACGGCTTCGTTCGGCCTCATCTTAGCCGGTGCACACACTGTCCTTAAGGTCTAAGGAAGATTATTAAGTAAAATTATTAGCTGATGGTGAGATCTAACTCTCTTGCACATGAACGCGTGGCTGTACTTCGTTCTTCTGGTATAAACGGGGCACGAAAAAGAAGTTCTGTTCCTCCCTCATTGCGGGGACCACCCTACGCCTGAACTGGATGAGGTTCTCAAGATTCCATGTATAAGAACCCCTTCTATGTGAGGCATCTCTCCCAGAAAATCGTATTCTTTGATCCTCCTGATGATCTCTCAAGTGTGTGCACACCATATTTCTGTTGATGATTTTCTTACTGCTGGAGAGTTGGTCAGAACTCGAATGGCTTAGGAAGTTCTTGTAGTAGGCTAGCTGTATCATGAATTTTCTGGAGCAACTGTGTAATCGAGGCTAGTTATTGAGAAGGAATTCAACTAATTGCCAGATTTTTTCTTTGATAGCTTTTTGTGTTTCGATTATTGGTTTAGCTGCTCGAAACAGGTACCCATTCCCATTTGCGTGGAGCACGAAAATGAATTAGTCGACATGGTTTTCATAGATTTCACTGATTTTTGTTTGTTGAGTGGTTCCGACGAGTAGTTTTTAAGTGGTTTCCGCCTTTCCAAGCTCTAAAAAATGTTGTTACGCCGAAATCCCGGTCAAAAATCATTGTCACCAAAAACTGAATAATCTCCGAAATTTGCACTTTATGATCTTGTCCAGCGCTGTCGTTATCACCTTCTTTTACGACGTCATCGGTAAACAAACCTGCTACTCTACTCATTGGTTCCCCAACGCTGCTGTCCGAACTGAGGCAGCATACTGCTCAACCTCCTTCTAGCTACTTTCTCGTTCTGTTCTGTCAGATAGTGAGGTGCTGAAATTTCCTACTTCAGATGTGCACATACCTCTGAGAACTGAGATGCTGGTCGCAGTGGGAAGTGAAAGTATAATAAAGCTTGTCCTATGTTGAATAGCGTAAGCGCAGGATAAATTCTTTGGTGTCCATACTAAAAATGAAAAGTTTGGTTCTCCTACTGGTGGAGAGCTTCCAAATGTTTCACTTTCTCGAATAGGATACTTCCAGCCCTTCGTTTCTTTCCGTTACCTCAGACATAATTCCCTCAAAAGTACTTTCCTAGCATACATATTTCGTCAACTGGTTCACCCCTTCAGCGCTGTGGAGAAACACTCATTCAGCAGAGGCGTCTGGCTAGTTTGATGTCTGGGAGTGAGGTGGTATACATTATGTAGATAGGAGGGTCATACTTTGTTAGCTGCGGGTGGGAGGTGGGAGGCAGGGTCAACCGTCACGTTCGAACATTTTCGGGATTTTTGCGACTGCCCCTCCAATACAACCAGCCTTCCCCCCACCGCCACCTCTCCCTCTTCTATAGTATTTGATTCTGAGACCAGCTGGCACAGCCCAAAACCTACCTAAAACTCCGACTTCACCCACTTTTTCCCCAAAAATAGCCGTCGAGCGGGGTGGGGGGAATACAACCAGTGAAACGGCAACTTTTTTCGCACGCACCGATGCCCTGCGCCCCTGATGACCAAAGCACAATGCGACCCCTCTCCCCTACAGAACACAAATGCGACCCCACTGTTCGAACAGTTCGAACGGACGGTTGACCCTGGTGGGAGGTAGATCGCACTTTAGAAGGAACGAGAAACCTTTCAAAAAGCTCATGAACTTTACGAAATTTAATCGAAAAAAGCTTGAAAGTTTTAGTTATTTTCACCTTATCAGAAGTTGTGCATCATCCAAGTTCCGCTAGATGTCGCATTTGATCCTGCATACGCACCTTAAAGGCATGTGATGCGATAAACTGGATGTCTAGGAAGGGAAATCTGTTCACTGAAAGGCTAGGTTCCCAAGTAATCAAGACGCGGCATTTTTGCAGCAAACTGTACACCTGCAGCGACCCAGCAAGTCCTTACCCATGGTGACCTCCACGATCACGGGAAGCCCCGCCTGTGAGTGGTAGATTCGACCCATGATTAGTTAGTGGTGAGCGGTTGCCGTTCGCGACAACAGTGTGTGGAAAGGCAGAGCAAGGTGTTTACAATAGTTATGTCATCCATCATATCATCTCGTCCAATGCAGGAATCAAGGGAAAAGTGGGGGGGGGGGTGCCAACAACGCGAGTTTCAAGATGCTTCCTGAGTCTTGTCTTCACAACTGCCTAACGCCCGTTCAAAGATTGGCTCCAATATTGACCCCTCTCCATGACATGCAGGCAGAAGTCACCAGTCAGAAGGTAGCACCCGTGCTTTAATTTTCAACGGCGACCAATTTGTCGTACCAATTGCTTCTATTGGTGTGAACACAATCAAACTCGTTTGGCTCGCAGATCACAAGCTGTCTTGTACCGTTGTTTGATTGGTGTCGTGCTTAGATAACACATCATGTCGGGTTTTCATTTACTGGGAACCTCTACAGGGAGCTTGTATGAGGCCAATCATTTACCAATTCCTTTCTTGTAACGCCTCTGTTTGTTGTTAACGGCGAAATTTGCGTATTTTTGGAGCCAATTCCGGAATAAACGGGTAAACAAAGGAGTTATCGGTGTTTGCTTGAGATCGTTGGCACTTTGCGACGAGAAAAACCGTTCAGCATCATAATAAATGCCGGAAGTGCTAGCCAACTGCCCATATTAAGAGTTTTCACTACTGCAACCGTTTCCTTTTCCATTTTGTTTTCTAGCTCTATGAGGTCTTTTTTGAAGCTTTATAATTACATATATTTATCGCGATTTTCATCAATCCTGCCGCTTCTACCGGTAACTATTCCAAACTGTTTGCTCATACTTTGAATGGTTTCTCGCACTTCCCTTCTTTCTTTTTTTATTGCGCTGACTGAACGGAGCTGAAAGTCGTGCAATGTTGTTGAATTCTTTTCTTTTTTTGCGTCACATTTCTCTCCAGCAACTCTTGGCGTATGTCGTTAGTGAATTTTTGACGAATTTAAACTGATGAAGTAATCCCTTGCATGTCTCTAGGCCCGCTGCGGATTGCTGCTGCGAATCGTTAGTCTATGACGTCCCTAACTAACCACACACCAACTGGATACTACAGCGGACCTCAGCACAACCAACGTGTCCTTACATTTTATATTTTTGTTTCGCCTTGAATTTTTATGGAGCCGATAATAAGTATTTGCAGTCTCGCGGAATAAGCGTGCAGTCCGGGGACCGATCACCACCAGCATATGAATCGGACCGGGGATTTAGCGAAACGACACCGCTGTTGGGCCCTTGCAGGTAGGACCTTCATCGATCATTATGAAATCTTGACATCGTTTTCGTGAGAAACGACGACAATTTCTCTATCGTTCATTTTCTAACTCTCTTTTTTTGTTTCGAAACTTTGTCTTCGCAGTTGCTTATAAACTGAAACGAAAATTTTATCTTAGCTGGAAGGCCGAGAAACGATATCGATCCGATTTAAACATTTTCATTTTTTATTGCTTTCAATAATGTTATCGATATTGCAGCAGGTAAAGGTAACTTAAAGACCTAAGAGGGGTGGTTCGTGATTGGGATGACTAGCGTAAGGTAGCATATCGATGAGAGCATTAATGTTTTTATCATTGCGTGGTCCTTTTTGTGCTCGGGCTTCCAGGTGGAGAACTACAGTTTGAAGCCAACTAATCTCATACTGATGCACGATCCCGCTCCAATGAAATTCGTCTACGATTCTCGATAGAAGCTGACCCGTTCCTCATACCCTTCTTGCTCAGGAGTAATGAAGAACCCAAATTCATTCCACTGTTACTATTAAGATACTGGTTTAAAGCGAGACAATGCAGTAAAAAATATTTTTGAGAAAGGTTTCGGTGGAGAGCCCGTTAGCCTTCAGGCTCCTCTGACACCTGGGTTCACCGTATCGAGTGCCCAATTTCAATTCATACATGTGGGACTCTTTTTGGGCCTACTACTACGACTCACCTACAACCTTCGCTAAAATTCTTAAAGTTCGTTGCGGGAGGGGGGGAGAGCGGTGGGGTAGAGGGAGACGCAATATGTGCACTGACAAGGGAGGTCTTTCAGGGCAAGCCGCGCTTTTTGAAAACGGTTTATTGCATATTGTAATGACGCATGTGTGGACCATAAAACCATGTTTCGTTTTCGCTGAACGGTTATAGCAGTACCAAAAATGTGGTGACTGATACCCTTGATGGTTCGATCCCTCCGCGGCGACCAAATTTTGCAATCAAGTTTAGGGCCACTTGTTGGTTTCAAAATTGTCTTGACGATGAACTTCACATATGATTTTAATATCTAGCGCGATTTGGCACCAATCCGAAGGCGCCAACTCAAATGCAAAATTTAGTCGCCACGGGGGATCGAACCATTAACAGTACCTCATGCTTCCTTTGTGGTACTGACATAAGCGTTCAGCGAAAATGAAGCATGGTTTTGTGTTCCCTATATGATTCCCTACAATATGCAACAAACCGTTTTGAAAAAGCGCGGCTTGCTCTGAAAGACTCTCCTTGTGAGTGTTAAAACGACAAAAGTTGCCAACAATTGCGTTTGAAAGTTTTCAAGATTTTTCTCAATTCCGCAGTTCTGTCGTAATTCTACCCTCTTTCCAGAAAGATGCTTTCCTGTCTCCCGAAAAAAATACGATGTTCTGCGGAATACGATTCACTTCCAAAATCACAAAATCTGGCCCTGGTGCAGCTTTTGCGCAGGGATAAAAGAATGATAGCGAGCGTCGGGAGTACGGACACCTCTCCTTCAATTTACATCACCCTCATCTAGCAGCAAACACCACTCCCTATCATATCGAGATACATGCGCTGCCTTATGGTTTGATCGTCTCCTATGGGGCTGTTCCTCGTTCGAAGCTTCAAATACACTGAAAGAAAATGAAACCCAGCAATCAGGTTCTGAAATATTGTAACCAGTAAATCTGGGGCAATCATCAAAACAAGAACGAGGGTATCCACTCTGATGGTAGGGGTCACTCGGGCGAAGCACCAAGCGAGTTATGTTGTTGTCTGGTATTCGCGGAAGTATGACCGAGAACCGTTTCTTGTTTTCAGATCACTGCCTTCGGTTGTGGGATATGATAGTGCTCGATCAGTGTCTGATTATCCTGGACCATCAACTGCACGGTCTGAGGTGAGAAAATAATTATTTTACCTTGATAAGGTAGAGTTCAATTGATGAAACCGAATGTAAAACACGCGTTACAGTTATTAGAACCGTGAGAACCGTTTCTTGTTTTCAGATCACTGCCTTCGGTTGTGGGATATGATAGTGCTCGATCAGTGTCTGATTATCCTGGACCATCAACTGCACGGTCTGAGGTGAGAAAATAATTATTTACCTTGATAAGGTAAAGTTCAATTGATGAAACCGAATGTAAAAACGGTTCTAACTTATTGGGGGGGGGGGTACCCATGCGGCGGCGAGGCGCTCCGTTCGCCAGCTCCTCCAAGGCTTAGTCCGGCGATGGCGCGTATTTCGAAACTGCCACGTGGCGACGAAATAGTGACTGCCCCTTGGACTAAGCCTTAGAGGAGCAAACAAACAGAGTGCCGCGTCGCCGCGTGGTCCACCCATCTAAGTTAGCACCGTAAAAACGAGCATATATCCGCGCGCGAGTTGCGCCAAACCTGCGACCGATCGCGGACTCTGACACCAGCTTGAAGTGATCGCGTTTTGAATGCTCTGGAGCCCGCGTAGCAGCATTTAAGTTGCACGATCGTTTTAGAGCGTGTCTGCTGGTCAAGTACAGGTGAAGGGAGGGAGTGAGAGTGCACTAATACGAGCATTTCTTCGTTTGAGTCCAGTTGTTTTCCAAAGCTGAGGTAGATTTGGAATCTGCTCCGCTCCAGCTTTTTGGTAACTGCTGTGCTCCCCGAAGTTTGAAGAAGCTACGAAGTGAAAAATCGATTTCATCAAATTTGCGTTTGCCTTCCATAGGTCATAAGTTCCCTCAAATTTGGATACGTGCTACGGGTTAGAAAGGTCAAGGAATTCCCTCTCAAAAATACTCAATCTTTCCTAAATGTTTTCTTAACCCTTTGACGACAATGCGGCTTTTTGGGGCGCCCAACTGTCGCACAAAATGGGGCAAAATTGTCCCTAAAATCAGTTTTTCTATCAGAATTTTGATTATGACAATAAACAAAATATGACTGCAGCCTTGAGCTTTATGAACATACGTTGTTGGAATTAGAATGGAAGTTTGGAAAGAAATCTCGGATTTCAAAGTCATGGTGTTTGAAAACTCCAAAAATTCATATGTACAGTAGAATTTTCGGTATACTTTGAACTTCTCCTTGTGTCTAAAGACTGTGAAAAGACGTAGAGGTCCTGATCTGTGATTCACCTTAGGCTTAATAATGTAAAACACTAGTTAACACATACATTGCCGAACGAAGTGCCATATCCTAAAACTTCATATAAATTAGCTAGTAACAAACATTTCTGCAAAATGCTCAACATAGGAGTAACGTAGCTTGCTTATAATTACTGATATGTTGAAAATGTTTTAAATGGGTAAGAAAGAAAATTTCAAGGTGGCACCCACCATTGGGTGCCATTGTCCCACGCGACGGTCATAGTGGCACCCCCATTGTCGCCAAAGGGTTAACGAAAATTAGCGCGTAGGTTCTTTTTTCGTCCTCATGCGAGCTTCTAACCTTCGAAGCATCAGAGCCTTCTTCCAATTTATCATGTCTAGGAGCTGAAGCCAACATGATTAGCTACAAGTGTTGAACTTTCTAGAAAGTATGTACTGGATCTTAAAGAACTCTGGTTTAAAAAGTAGTCCCGTTGACACTTTTTGAAGGGGCATCTTTTAAGTCTTTTTTCTTGAAAACGCGAGTATTTGAAATCTCATTGAAACCAAGTTCCTTTAGCAATTTCGTGTGAAAGTGTATCTTAGAAGGTTACGAGCTTGTGCTTCCAAAAATGTACGCAAGCGGTTGTGCAAATCCGTCCTTCAAAAAATGTTTCTTGTGTAATTTTTAATTTTTTTTTCGAGAACGCCGCCCTTCATAGATGCAGTTTCCCACAGTTAAGTCTGCTACAGAGATATGGTATCGGAATTTCTTTAGAACAATTTCTTGTTTTCTATGGCTCAAAATCGAAGTGCTGGACTCAACGAATCCTGCCATCGTGTGTGTCATGCCTGGTTCTGATTCGTTGATGCATTTCAAAGTTTTTATCGTCACAATTTATAGTACTGCTGATCACCGCGCTTACGATACCCCTCCCCATATGCTCAGTGAAAACCTCTTCATAATTGTATGTACGGACATTTGACTCCGGTCAGAAGCACGAAATGTAGATCTATTAATTGCTGTTTTAGGACGGGCGAACTGAAATGAGACGAAAGAAGAAACGAATGCGGAAATACCATCGAATCGAAACGCATAAAATGAGGTGAATTTTTCTTTTTTTTAAACATAGCTCACTACAGTACAGGTGTTGCATTTGTGTGGAATTTTCAATGACTCGAGTATTTGAGCCGTGTTGAGTTTGTTGCGTGCACTTATAAACTGCGTTGGTTCTATCGGTCCTACTGATTATGCCTTATTTTTAGAATAATCGGATTTTATTGTTTCATTAGTCATGCTAGATCGGTAGTTGAATTCACTGCGGAAATACTGCTGTAGCGCAGAGAAAGGTGTTTGTACATGTTCAAGGAGCAAATGCAAAGAAGCAGCGGTTCACGTTATACTGTTGCGTTTTAGTACCATTAGCTTGTTTGACGGGGAATAGTCGATCCTCCAAACAGACTTGAAATCAACAGGCTGGAATAATTGAGTAGATCTCTTTAGTTCAGGGTCATATACCCCTTAACTGAATTACTCGCCTCACTGTATACAGTAAAGCCACATATATAAGCGGGAATACTATATAAAGTTCTCGCGACTTCAAAGAGACGTGAAAGCGCTACAGCATTGGTGTTCCGCTGTCGGCTCTGCAATACAACGTATACGAAGCGAGACGTCTGCGTCCTCTTGCCAGACACAGTCTCTCGCCTACTCTATCTCCTGTTCGCTTTGTGTCTCCTCGTCTGCGTCGTAGCAAATGCGTTGACAAAAAATGGAAGGTTTTCATTTTTAGCGATTCGGCAGTTAATCTTCTTTTTTGCTCAATCAGTTTACTTTTTTTTAAATCCTTCGTTTTCAAGCAAAAAAAACCATCGTTTGATTGTGAAATGAGATTTCGAGCCCACAATTTGTCAGTGTAACAGAGGGAATATGGAAGGGGGGGGGGGGGGTGAATCAACCGCTCTAGCGTTGCAAAACATGGCAGCTGCGGTGTAAACAATGTTGGTGAACTTTCCAGCGTGAGTTTTCGCTGAGTAACCTGTTAAACTGAACATGCGATCCCCTCTAGCAGAACACTTACTGCAGGGTGGGCCACAATTAACCAAGACATTGTATCACTAAAAACGAATATTAACCCAATGAACCAAATCGCTTAAAAAAGTGTTGAAGAGTAGTATCGTAAGGCAAAGCTAGGTTGGGTTCGAAATCTGTTGGCTATTGCATTAATAGAGGCCTTCAGATGAAAGAGAAGGCGCGTCCCATGGCACGCCGGTGAGACCTGTCTAAATGTTTCCACATTTTCTGTTGTTATATCTCCAAGAAACGAGACCTTTCTGGAGTTTACCTTGCTCCCACCCTCAGGCCCACCGTGCGGGAAATCCATTAGGATCCGATGAGGGATTCTGGGTAATAGCTACTAGAAGACTGTAAACACAAAAATACATCTTTGCAAGATTTCTCCTTAAAACTACGGGCCTAATCCTACTAAAACGTCCAACGTAATGTACTCATGTGACTCTTTATTCACGATACACATGGTACATTCAGAATATCTAAGTGGCTTTTTAAATTTTTTTCGGTTTGGCGATACGAAAGCCGCAAGGAGGATAGCGAGTTTTTGCATTTGGTATTTGTCCTAGCAATATGTAACTGTAATCTTTAAAACTCTTTCTTTCACATCTTAGGTGATTCTCAAAGTATTGAAGCTTCCAACCATTACCCATACGAGCTTCTTCGTTACTTTGAACTGTCGTTAAATATAGCGCGCCAGAGCCCCTTGTCGGTTCAGTTTGGGGATTGGCATATCGCGATGTGGTTGCTTCACTAATTTAGGGGACTCCATGAAGATTGGTTTCATTAGGAAGGAGACGTTGTCCTTTATCACACTATTCTCAAAAAAGAGAGGAGGCAAATGAATATACAGTGCGTTTCATAACCATAAAGTCACCCTAAAATATTGCATTTCCGGGACCAACAGCCAACTGGCGATTTTCCCACTATCACCAAATGATTTCCCACTAGGAATAACCCCTGTATCGCAATGTTAGTGGGAGCAGCTTTTCTTCGAACTTTTTTGTAATTATTTTTCGATTTTTGCACCGTTTCATAATATAAGGTCACCCTGTGAAAATGAATACTACATGATCGGAAACAACCAATCTGCCTGTGAAATTGAATGTTTGTTACAAACACACCCAGTAGCTAAATTTATGGAATTTATAGTTTCGTACTCGCCTTTTGAAGAAAAGGTAAAGTTTATGCAATTCATTGTGCTTGGCATGGTTTGCGAGTCTTTCCAAAGATCTTCAGACAGTCATTAGCACTGCTCATGAATAATTGAAAAGCTCCTACGTCCCCAGATATTCACAATATCAGAACATCCACAAATGTTTTTATAAATGATTAGAGAAGAGTTATGAGGGCCTGTCTCGTGAGCTATTTTTCCGCTTCAGATCGGCGTCGCGCGCTGATTTAATGTCTCTGTTTGAAAAAATGAACTGGAATGCGTGGAATTAAGCAGCAGCATTACAGGAAAGCAACAAAGGTGGTCCGAAGACTCACTGGCCATTGCAAAGTGGCACAACTTCGACCCGTAAAGTTGAATTCGAAGAGAGTTTGTAACAAGTTGAGTCTGCTTCACAGTCGCACCATTATAGCGAGAATAATTCCTGTAGAGCCTTGTATTTTTGCGACAAAAACTGGTTGATTACAAGAGATTCCTGCGAATATAAACACTTTGAAGTGACTTGCGAGGTGGCCGCATTCACTTCAGCGCTTGCAATTTTAGTTAAGGAAATGTGGAAGGTTTGGTGCTTTTGTGATGATGGTCTGTCAAATTTTCGCCTCCACAAACTGGCATAATCGACTCCAAAGATTATGCATAGAGCCTTGCGAGGACATTTGACTTTCCTTGAGCTGATGAAGTCGGCTAGCTACGTGAGTCATACAGAACAGTACAGGTACCCATGTAGGTCATCCAACCAGAGGCAGCATTTCTCTCGAAACCCTGACTGAACTGAGCAATTCTTCCGAATTTCTGGTGGGGTGCTTCTAGTAGAACATCCCAGGGGCATCTTCGTCATGAGTAATAGTGAGGATAAACGCCAGTTAAAAATTACACAAGAGCGTGTACAAGCAACCCTTGAACACGGAAGTGAATCGATGGTGATCTGCCTTGGAATCTCAATTCCGGTAGGCCACGGAGACTATTCAATGTTGCCCTTGATAAAGGAGGAACCATACATTATTATGTCTATTTTATCTGTCATTAATCTTAGGTAATTGTTCTTTTCTCAGGGTGACCTTATATTATGAAACGGTGCAAAAATCGAAAAATAATTACAAAAAAGTTCGAAGAAAAGCTGCTCCCACCAAAATTGCGATACAGGGATTATTCATGGTGGGGAATCATTTAGTGATAGTGGAAAAATCAGCAGTTGGCTGCTGGTCTCGGAAATGCAATATTTTAGGGTGACCTTATAGTTATGAAACGCACTGTATTAGGAAAAAAGTAAGTTTGATTGCGCGCACTTGGGGTTTAATTTTGGCCACCCTGTATTTTCATGCAAGCTCTCTATACAAATTCTCTATATTTTCGAAAGATTTTTACGAGATTTTGAGACATCTGCAGAAGTGCTCACCTATGGCGACCGATCGACTGCTTTTCAACGTCTTCTCCCCCTTTTTTGTTTTCTTCTACGACGAATGACCAAAAATTCGAGTGATCAAATCATAATCAGATTTTATTTACTCAATTTATACACGTGCCGCAAGTAAATTACATCCAGCTCTGTAAGTGGAACTAGACGCCTCGCAATATGCGTTGCGTGTTTTTGAGCGCAAACAGCTGTTGAAGCGAGGGTTAGGGTTGTGCTTGAAATTGGATGACCATTTTCGTGAACCCGCCCTCCTCGTGTGAAGCTGCACGTACAACGAACCGATCTCCCATCGACGCTCGACAGTCACACCATTGGTTTTATTGATTTGTGTTGTTACTTTCACTGGATGAATAACGACGATTCGTGTGGCTTTCACTATGGCATTTATCGCGCTTTGTGTAACACACGACGATTTCGTCGTCGACTAATCATGTGCTTCTTGGCACGTTTTCGCTGAACGACATCTATTGACTCGCATAAACATCACACCCGTCTTTCATTACGAATAAAAATAAATTAGTCAAAGCATTTGGACAAATCGGTACTGATGGTGGTGGCTGAAGTGCTAGGGGTGGAGGCTGAATGATGTCTCGTGGGTTTCTGGAATCGATAGCCGATAGTTTCAGTCCTGACGAACTGGTCAATGCACGACACGTTTTGTTAGTGAAAGGGCGATTTGGGAATGTTTCAGTGTGAATACCATATGAAAGGTACTTGATTGGGTTCTTATGGCATGTCCTGATCCTTAACGTCATTCGTCCCTTCACTCGTCAACCATATAAACATGTGGCGTTGACTGGTTAAGCAACACGTATCCAAACCCATATTTGGGTGGTCGTCGGTGCTTGTCCTGTAGAGGACTGTGACCCAACCGCCGGCTGTTCAGCCGTTTTTGATGTCTTATCGGATTATCCTCCAAACATCTTTGTTTACATGACTGGCGGTGAGTTGAGGGAGGTCGTTTGGGCGAGGTTTACTCACTCGATTTGCCCTCTCTATCGATCGATTCGTATTCAAGTCACGCTGTAGTAGAAGCAATAGTTCATTGTGTGGTACTACTATGCTTTCTGTACTAGTAAGAGAAATTAGGTGTATGTAGTGGCACTTTCAATTGACCACGTGGTTTGTTTTCGTGAACATCCGCGTAGCCAAAGCGATTTTGTGATTTCACGCTTGCCGTGAGCCGTACAAAACCGTGGGAGAATCCAGCTTCCTTCGCATGTTCGCCGCCAATGTGGATATATGTAGTTGTATGCTGTCCGTTCTCCTGCTCCTATTACCGCTAGTGGGCTATATTTGCGGAATAATTTACTTGTTTTTTTTATTATTGAGCTTAGAATTATCGCGGAGATTTTGGCTTTTTTATTTAGAAGTCGCAGTGGTTGCCGTGGCAACGTGTCCATCGTTGTGTATTCTATGTGGTCTGTCATAATAATCTCTATCGTATATCC